TTATCTTTTCATCGACATAGGAGGTGTGTCATATAATTAAATATTTTATAAAACCGTAACTTTCATTTAATAAGAAAAAATAATATCAATGCTTGTAATATTGAGAAAGAGTATACAGAATTGTTAAAGCTACATTTAAACATTTTCAGAATAAATTGTAGAATATTATCATGTAACGTGATAATATTCTGATTCTTTTTAATTATGATTTAGTACGTGCTTATGTAGAATGGAGAAAAAGAAAAATTATTCGGTACTTAAGTGGCAAGCAGTCAAATACATATTTAGGTCGATCAATGCGACGCATATCAAATTCTCTTTAACCTGACACCGATATAAAACGCCTTGTCCTTACTACGACGAATTCCGATCACGTATAGGCAATGTACAACGACATACTTTTCCACACCGGAAATACGAACGCAAACGAAACCAACAAAAATGCAGATCCAAGTAAATATCGTACATCTCTTATACACTTCACTAGCATTTTCTTCGTAGAAGTAAAATGCATATTTTAGCATCAAAAGAATCATCAAATTGCTTCGAAATTCCAAAAAGTGTTTCTGTCACAACATTAGCGAGGACTTTCTAATTCCGATCGTGTTTGTCAACAACAAAACGTTAGAATCAAATAATGACAGGGCAGTTATAAATACGAATTAAGTTATTTATAAACTAAAATCACCAATTAACTAATCAGTAATTAACTAGAATTTATCAATTCGGTAAAAAATAAGAAGGCATATATTCTGCAAGAATTGAATTTATCGCAATCTGACATGAAACGAATATCGTTGTGTCGCTACTACAAGCACATTCACTATAAATTCTTAACAAACCAGCGCTTTATTCTATGAAATAATATAGCTACAAATATATCTATTATTTTATTATCAGACTCGACAGGAAGCAAACTGTTCTGTTCCCAGAATTTCCGACACGAGCACTCGCGTAAGACACTTCGTGTGTCCATTTGAAAGTACAATTGAACGCAGAAGATAACTACAGCCCTGATATTATCGTCGAGCCCTGCGAAGGGCCCGGTGAATATCGGGCCCACTCCTGGGCCAGCCGGCGGAGCCTCTCCGGCCCATTCCATTCCGGATCCGTAGTCGTTTCTCGCGTGCATCGCCCGCCGGAGGAAGCATTCCATTCATGTTTCGGAACGCGCAACACGTTCGTCGCCGCGAGTGAGAGAAAGCCACGAAAAGAGACCGACCGTTCCGCAGCCTCTTCTCCGCAGAGAAGCAACCAGGGGGTCCCCTCGCTACCTGGCGCCGTCCACCAGCGACGACGACAGGCCGATGATGACGATCGACGAGTCCTCCAGGAATACCATCTACTCGTCCTGCGAGCGCGTTCAGCATCAAGCACGTGGTTCTGCGTCATTGTCTGGCCGGTGCGCTGAACGCACATCCGGGGATGCAGTGAAGCTGCACTGGTGCGTTCTTTTGTTTACTTTGTTCCCTCTTTCTTTTTTTCACCGCTTGTTTTGTCTCGCTTTTTTTTCGCGTATCCGGAAACTCTCGTCCTCGTTTCTCAAATTACACGCAACGCGGTAAATTAATTCGGAGGATTGTGGTAAATGATTATTTTTACGATTGATTCTTATAATTTTTATTCATTGACAAATCTCGTGCATACATCGCGGAGATACGAAGATAATACGCTTTATTATCTCGTTTTGAATTCCCGATAGAATTGGGTGTCTGTAAATAAGACGGATTGATTAACAGGTTTATCGTGTGTTTATGCTGCTGATAAAGATGAGTGGTCAGAATGGTGAAAACATTTAAGTAAAACTCTACTCTTTCGGCGTCATCTATTATAAGAATTTAATATTTTTACTTTTAGATTAGATAATAATGACGGATTAGGAAGAATTTGTTGATATGATTTATTGATCGACCTATATGTATTTTATTCCCACACAATTCTCGTTTTGTAGTAAAATTGAGAACGGCAGTTCAATCTCGAGTTGCATAATATTGGCGATTGTTTAAGTGTTATTAAAGCGAAACACTTTATTATTTCTGCATCAAAACAATTATTAATATTTTTATATCGATATAATTACAAGTTTGAGTTACTAATACATGTAATTTTAGAATGTCATATTAGTTTCATCATATTAGTTTTTTTAGAATGTCGTAAAAATTTCTACATATTTTTCCTTTGATTTAAGATTACTTCTTAACATTTCGAAAAATAGTGAGGTTTTTATTATACAGTAAGATTTAATTCGGCAAAGTAGATTGCAGATTCGTAACCGGTCGTCATCTCCTGTCTTCATTTCTAAAGCGCATAACCATCGCGCATCGTCCGCATGCTAACGCGGCTGTTGAACTCCCCGGTCTCACTTTGTATATATATAACATTATCGCCTTTAAATCGTCCAGTGTACGGCCGGCGTGTATTGCCAATCTATATATACGCGCGACGAAAAGTATTCCGGAAGGGCGCCTCGAAAACAGGCCGCTCCGAAGGAGCAGCGAATTCCTCGTGGAACGCGCCCGGTTTCCTCTCGTCAGGATTCTCGTTTCCTGAAAACGTGGCGGATTTACAACCCTGATGCACGATTTTTACGACAGCGTGGATGTTAAAACAACAGAGGGTCCTAGTCATCGCGAAACCACCGCACTTCCTTCACTCGTGGGTGATAGTGTCAAACGCGAATGACGAATGTGTAATGTTGCACCGTAATTTTCCCAGGAATATGCATGCGTCGGCGTGGCGATACTACCGTGTGGGATGTTATATCTTGTAGCTATAGCAAACAGGTCGTTCCGACTATAATAGGTACGCTGTTAGCATCGCGATGAAGTTATTGTACATATATGGAAAATTATAATAAGCGGCATTCTACTTAGTGACGAACTTGGGGAACTACACTTATTTATGAATTTCTAAATAGGTTGTGTGATAAGTGAGATCATTTCTGAATAGATAAAATGAGTTTAAGTAGATAATTACTACGCGCGCGCGCTTAGCTTGACTTCAAATGCAGATAAAGATTTTATCTCTTTAATATTCATGAAATTTTAATTTATCCGTATATTTTCAAGATTTTATTTATGCTCATTATTGCCACGCTATAACAAATGCAACAAATTTTGTTTAGGCAATCAATAATCGTACAATGTACACGTTCTACGATGGAGGTTTGACTAATACAGAATCCTCTAATGCACAGAATGCATTTAAATTATTTATGACATGACTCATGACTCGAGACGATGGTGATGCATTAGATACAATCACCGACAGTTCTACGTTAAGCATTTCGAGTTACTTCTGCATCCGTAAAAGTTAATATTTACTTGTACTCAGCAGGACTTTACCGTTCTTCACGGAAGAATGAGATATTCATGATATTCCTGCAGTGAATAAATATACATAGGTTCCTGCGATAATAATCGGTTTCTGTTCGGTCTATTCACCGATAATCAGAGTCATATTAGCGCGGTGGGAAAGTTACTATTTTCCGCGCGGAAGTTACATGAGTAACGGAGGAAAAAAAGCAGGTTTCATATTCAATGTGATTTACAGTATCACTGATCTATGTGATAACGTTGCGTACATTAACGAGCGCGAAGTCACGTACTACGTGTAAAATTACGTGTAGAAATTACGCTGCATCGATTAAGTTTCATTTTTTTCGCTTCATTTTACGCAGTCGAAATAATTATAAGGAATTTAATTACTACTGCAATTTGAATAATATTGTGTGGGAATTCACAGGACATAAATAGTTAAATATTAATTTATTAAATCATTTTTTTTAAGAAATCTATATGTTGATCTTCTCTTCATTTATTGATAATTGCGTTTCAAGTTCATATTTTTACAAGTGTACACACAAAAGTCGTTTAATAATATTTCAATTTACATCTACATTTTCAAAATTTTATTTTCCAGAAATTTTATTTTTATTAAAACATCGCATATTTCGAGTATTATAATTTCGGAGTTCTCACGGGTAAATAATATTTATGTACTGTGAATAATCGGCAGACATTTGGCAAAGAATACATCATTTGCAGAATGTTCAGAATGTGCAGTTTCCGTCTCTAAGCTCGCGAAATTCCGCATGCAGTTTCCCAGAAGAGAATCAGATAGCATTTAACGTGCTTGGACACCAGCCAGAATTGCCCACGACTATTGCTCTATAGAGTTGAACCGAGTGACGTGTTACTCCAGAATTTAGCTGACTAGGCGCCGTTCTGTGAATCACATTCCTCTGCCGGCGACAGGTAGTACACGCGAAGCGTCATGCGTTTCCCCGAACGTATCTGGGAAATCATAATGTCTCCGTTCATATAAACTCCGGACGTATCGCGTGCGGCCATTCAGTAACTCGAACGAGCCACCGTATACATCGGCTCCGGCGCGCATCTCATCCTGCCAAACACGACTCACGAGACTCCGGGGTCTCTTCGGAACGACGGCGTGCCTGCCGCCCTTTCTCTCCCAGCGCTTCCCAAACTAGGGTTCCGCGAGATGACGAAAAATTACACGTTCTTCGCCGCTTGTAAAGCCTATTTAAACGACGCTCCGTCCGCTTTAGGGAGAACTACTGCAACCATAAATATGTAAGTATATATTATACGAGCGAGTATTGACTTGTTTGCTTTTCGTACCCCGAGTTTGTTTCCGATTTCGTAATCAATTTTTAGTTCCATTATATTTTAGAATACCAAAAATTTTTTTTTTCTTAAGACAGTTATATTGTTAGTGAAGAAAGTATAAATCTTTAGTACTATTCGCACAGCTTACTAAATAATATTAGTAATCTTTGAAAAATATTCTTGAAACAGTGGAAGGGAATTAATTAATTTCTTGTCAGCATGTTGTAAGCATGTAAATCATGATAATCTATAAAAAGTAGTGACTTTGCTGATCTATTTATATGATAAATAAAATTTTATTTTAGTGTTTACAAACATTTAATCAAAACAAATAAGAAATGACTATATAGATCAATAATACACAACTTGAACTAGTTTTTTACGTCAACGTGTATTTGTAAAAATTACAATATTATTAGCATAACAAGTATATAACATCAATTATACAAATTAAATGTGGCGCCTGTAATTTATTCACCGCAAGATTGAAAATGTTGTTTCCATTTATCGATTGTATGAGCCGGCATTCGTTCGGCAAAGACGCGTATCTATAAATAGCATCATGTGTCAACATAATTTCTCTTGCACAGTAATTCAAGAACGTAGAATCCTGCAATCCTGATCTTAATTGTCTGATTAAACTACGGTTTCCGTCACTTAAATAGCGATATCGGGTATCAATATCTTCGTTTTTGAGCATCAATGATGAAACGACTTACAATTACATTGCTGATTAAACTTGAAACATAGATTACTAACCGATGATGTAACCGAGGAAAATATCTAAAAATATCTCAGTAATATAGTGCTAGTCTATCCACAAGCATCGTATAATTATTCAGTGTTGTAGAATAGCACTAATCAATTTTTCAAGTTAGGACCAAGTTCAGAATTGAGGTACCGAATTTATTCAAAGTGCGCAAGGGTTTCGAAATCGTCCCCTTCCCCTTTCGCAGCAACGAGATGCGAAAACTCGTAATTCGATCGCGGCTCGAGTTGGGAAATAGGTCGGCAGCTGCGAAGACCGGCAGCAGCGCGTTACATACATTACGCAGCCACGAGAACAATCCCTTTGTAAAACCGGCCGACTCGCTCGAGGACCCGCCGTCAACTGACTCGGAATCCGTCGTAGCCGATGCGGCGAGTCTCGGTTGTTCTACGGCCTGACCCACAGCTACAGCCTGTGTGTCGGGTCTCATGACGCCTACCGCCGGATACAGTCTGACGATTCGTTGTCGGCTGCGCGGTTGTGAGCGGCGTACGGGCCGGTGTGTGCGTGACGTGTCGTCGCCTCCTGTTGTGCGCGGCTCGTAACCCCGGTTGTGTCTCGCGCGAGTGCTTACGAGCGAGTGCGTACGCCGGGGCGTTCGTTAATACTGTTTCCGGCGCGCGCGGAGCCGCGCGCACAGTTTCGGTTGTGTTGTGTTGGGTGTCTCGCGCGCGCGGCGTCCGTCCGTCGCCGCTGCTGCTCTCCGTTCTCGTTCGTACACTCGTCATCATCATCATCATCATCATCACTATCATCGTCTTCGTCGTCATCATCTTCGAAATACGCAGCGTGCGCGATTCCCGCTGCTCCGCTCCTCTCGCGGGAGGTCAGCACCTTAGCATCGGCTGGTAGGTGGGTAAGTGCGGAATGTGGGATTCGGGGTTGTGCTGCCGGTGGGAAGATGAGTACTCCCGAAAGGAGTGAAAGATAGAGAGAGAAAGACGGACCTCCCATTACCTCGCGAAAGGAGTGCTCGCGGTGAAATATGAGCGGCCGGTTTCGGCAGTTTTCTTTTCTTTGTGTTGACGGCCAACGCGGGGGATCCGCCGTGCGTCTCGCGTGTGAAGCCGCCGGCCCGGAATCTGCACGACAATTGGGACGGGACGGTTCGCGGCGGATGTTAGCCAATCGCTTCTCCGCGGGGCTTCAATGAAAAATCGCGCCTGAGAAGATGCATAATCGAGTCACGGGACGATTTAAGTGGGTTTCACGTGATCTTGCTGATGAACGCAAAGGCGCGATGCTAGATGCTTGTATTATTTGTAGATTTCGTAGCTGCTAGGATTGCGATTTCGATATAGGATTGGTTTCTCAGTGGGCGATAAGGACTTTAACAGATGGAGAAAATCCGACGATCTTACGGAAATGAAAGAAAATGCAATTTTCTGTAGATGAAAAATATCTTCCGAACGGCTTTATGTTTATAAATTATAATATGAAATGTCATTTATTAGAAGATTAATTTTATAATTGTTGCCGTTTGTGTTTTCAATGCTATATGTTTTGATATTTAAGCCTTAATGATCTTCTTTTGTGTTTGTTAATATGAACACTAATTCTTATTGTATCTGCATTGAATATTATTAATCTTCATTTTTTTTCAACTTTTACGTTATTTTATTTTATTGTGTGTTATCTAAATATTTGCAGTTTTCAAAAATATAAATTTTTATGAAAGTAGATGCCAAATTTTGAAGAATAATTTAAACTCTATTGAAGCAATTGTTTCCGTCTATCACGATATTTCATCGTGAGAAATGCATTTCAACGGGATTACGGATAGCATATCTATGAAACGCAGGAGGAGCGTGTGGAATGCATTAGAGTGTGTGAAGATAAGACAAGCGCGCGCGACAGTTCGGCGACGGGGATGTTTTGCCCTACTCCGTCTATGCGTCTTGTTTACGAATGGTGTTCATAGAGAAACCATGTGATCGTTAAACCATAGATTACTCCAGTGCTAAACTACATTTATGAATGAATACATTTCGCCATGTATTCACTCATGAATAAAAATTTTGAAATCATGCATATAAAATTTTTATTGCATTTTATTACATTTTTATTGTACGAGGCGCGTTTTAAATAACAATTCATGTTTTAAAAATTACTATTTAATTAATGAAAAACTGATAAATCAGTAAAGGAAAAAATTGACTGGTTATATGATTACGTGTTATATTTAATCGGACAATTCGATATTTTATCTTTATTTCGACACTTGTATGCAAACACAACACATTTGATAAAAAGGGATAATCTCACTAGTCAGCTTATTACTGAATGAATAATTTATGCTGAACAATATTCTAAAAATTGCAATATATGGCATTCATACTTGTTCACAAATAGTTCTAATATATAAGATGCAACGTCTGCAATTCCATATCTTCTAAGAAATGTGATGATTCTCCCACGATAAGGCATCACTTTTTATGAACTTGCACATTTTTAGATAACCTATGTATATTTATATAAATTTCATAGGTATCAGTCAACAATGATAAAAATATTTATAGCGGTATCGATTAAATTTTATTTATTTATAAACTTCAATAATCTCGTGATACAAATAGACATATTTTTGACAAGTTATTAATTTTTATTTAAAGCTGAGGAATAGAGATGGTTTAGAGATTTAAAAAATATATAAAAGACCACTGCTTTGCATTAATTTAATGAGTTATTAAAAATTAAAAACTGTTTATATCTGATTTCAATTGCAGTCGTTGTGTTATATATAAGCAAAACTAATCTTACAGAATAAAAAAACACTTTTCTATCAAATAGATTTTTTTAAAATAGAGAAATCATGTACAAACACAAATAGGGGACTTAAGTGCCATCGAAGCGATATACGATACTGGATGCGCGTATTCTTCTAGCGTATACTCACGCTCGACTTTTCGTTCTAGAAATAGAAGTGAATGAGAGCGTTGAGCAAGTGTTTGTTGTGTGAAAGACTTGAGTACAGTGTCAATCCCGCGCATAATCTGGAAGCAGTGACGCCCTGTTTATTCTGTTCGGTAGTCTAGCGTGGCAAAGGAGAGCCCGAAATATCGTCATCAGATTCGTGTATTTTCAGCATCTTTAATTGGAGAGAGGACCGAACGCAATACTCGTAAATTATTCGGGTTCCTAATTAGACCGTCACCGCATTCCTCCGAGTATTCTCTGCACGAAGAACGGCGTTCTTTGTCGACTATTTTATCAGATGCTGATTATTCAAATTTAAATAACGTTTCATTAGTTTGAAACAATGTTATCATTTTTTTGCAATTGATAACTACAATTTCATAATCAATGTATTGAAACGAATGTATTGAAACGATTGTTTGTCAATTTTTCATCGAGAAGAAGAAACATTTTGATATTTTTCATCGTGAGAATTTTTTTGAGCGTAGGAAGTATAATTTTAACATATACAAGTATAACTGTGGCTCAAATTTCACGAATCTATTAAAATGATTTTATATTTCTAATTCTTTTCTCGATTATGTTAGATTTAATTGAATTATATTCTGCAATCATAATTATAACAATTTTGATATAAGAATGTATTTTTAAAGAATGTATCTTTGCAAGGAAATTGTAGTGGAAGTCCAGATTCATCGTGATAAAATAATTGGCATAGAATTTGCATTTAGAGCGACTGTTGAGCGAGTTGAATTGACCTTCTTTATGCATTCTAAGATTAATAAGCGTAGCTATTTTCGAATTATCTTACAAGATAAAACAACAGGAAATTTTTAACTCGTGGAATCGTCGTGATTTAAAAGAGGATTTAAACTTATCATTAACATTTACATCTACCATAATCAAGAATTAATGGCGCACCGTCTGCTTTACATTCACATAATCGCTCATTCATGCAACGCTGCCCTCCGCGCTCGACTTTGCAAACAATGAGCCGTAAATGCGGCTTCAATTACGTTGCAATTGAGGCGACGCGTGATTTACGCGCTACGTCGCTTATCGCTACGTGCTACATAGTGCGTAAACATCGTAACACGTGTAGCTTTACGGAAGCCGTAGAACAGATCGTATGACCTAAAATTTCAATGACGGTCGACGGGGAGCTTGATAAACCGAATATCAAAATATTCCGATCAAACACACGCTCTTCTTATAGTAACATGATAATAATTGATCAAAGATTAATCGTGCACTTTTTTCTTTTTTTCGAGATAGGTAAGAGAAAAAACAGATTAAGTAAAATCATTTTACTTTATAATAAATGTGATTTTAATATGTAATTTTTTTAATTGCATTTGTATATCTTTTCTATTGTTTTATCTTTAATGTTTTAAATTTCGAAGTGCAAAGGAATAAATTTATGCCACTCACAAAATAACGCTGGAATGCTGACGTAAATCCGGATATCGCTTGTCTTCACATTTTTTCAATTTCGGACTCGGTTTATAGACAGAAATTGTGCTGAGTCTGTGTATATCATCGAGCACTTCATCATCGAAAAGTGCGATAAGAAGATTGAGAAACTCAGCGTTTCGATGCTTGAGAGTTATGTTATCTAATTTTCTAGCGGAAATCGTATGTTTTTTAAAGTGGCGTAGCGCAACTTTATGTGTCTTGAATCCAGAACGATACGTCGATGCGGCATACATCGGTTTAAAGATTAAATCGAGATTTAAAGCTCTTTCTATACTTAACTGATTGTGCGTATGCCTTCATCCGTATGGCTGTTTATTCAGTATGAAAACTTCGTTTAGTTTTTCCGAAGTTTCTCACATTCGAGTCACGTTATCGTTTCCCCGAAGTTTTCCCGCGGACCGTTCTATTCTTATCTATCGTGTGAGTTTCCTCGATTTGTTCTCGTCCTTTTCACGTGACTGTGGACGCAACAGAGTGGTAAAATATTAACCTTTCCTTAGGCCTTCCAACGGTAACAGAACAGAAAAGATATGCAGATAATAAAACTCAAAGATCTTTCTGAAAGGAAAAAAGTAAAAAAGTATCCATTGTTCCATTCAGACACCGAAAGAACACTGCCGATTTTAGACTCACTTATATGCCGTATTTTTCATAAACTTTAAAATTTTTTTAAATAAAAATTTAATTCAACTTATGTAAAATTATCCTAAAAACATTCTAACGATTATTTCCATCGTGTATCGTAAAAAGACAGTTAAAAATTCTTCGTGACGACAAAATGTAAGATATTAATTGTTAGATGTTTTCATAGTTTCAGAGACGATACTTACAAAATAAACATTAAACATTCTTAGTTTGATTACCATTTCTAAATTATTTATTTGCGTTAATAAAGTATTATTTCTACCTGAATGTAGAATATATGTAATTCGTTTTTGCTATAATTATCTTGTAACAACTTCAAGGTGGGGGACTCAGAAATTACAAGTATATTACCAGCGAAGACAAAGTGTTGGCCTGTTATTGCGCTTATTAATAAAAAATAAATATGACCGAAAGGTAATTAAGAATACGCGAAATACGTTCTTCTACCTTCGAAACATGTTTAAAATAAGAGAAAAAGAAATTTCGCGCTGCACTTCGCTGTCTTCAAACCGTTTCTTCGTCTTCTTGGCGTCGAGCGAAACCGTAGAAACATCTGCCTCTTCCAAGAAGGTGGTTTCGAGATAATGCCGTATGGAAACGTGCAGCTCTGTGCTCTGTACATACAAAGTTGCTCGTTTCTCCCAGAGAGTGAAGAAATGTTTTTCTCCAGTTCCATGAATCGCGCCTATACGTTTCCCTTTTTTTCCCCTTCCGCTTCTCTCGCTCTGCGACAAATCTTGATTGCCGTTCAAAATTTTTCCACCAGAGTCTTTTTCAAGTTTATGCGCTCGAGACATTCTCTTCCTTCTCTAATTCGATGCCTCAGAAAAAGAAACAAGATTTTTATCGTGATATAAAGTTTTGCCCAGTTTCGTTCGTGTGCTCCTTTCTTTCTTCCTTCCGTTCCACTTTTCTAGCTAGAATTTTTTATCGTAAGAGGAAGTTGATAGGGAAATTTAATCAAAGCCACGAATACATCCGTCGAAACATTTTTTACCAATTATTAATATGAATCATGCGAGATTATGCTTGTTATCAATATGATACAATTTTATTAATTTGATTATTATTTGACTAAACAATGTGTGAAAATTTGGAGGATTTACACCGAAATAAAGAATGCGTTTCGCGGTCGACTTTTCCCACAAGTAGTGCTTAATGCAACTCTGCGATACGCTAAGAAAAAGGAAGTTAAATTTAAAAAAAAGAGGTGATAACACCGCGTGGTTTATTATTTCCTCTGGATGAAGTCAGGCATGTTTTTTCGGCATCCGCTTGTTTAGAACCATTTAAATTATGCCACGGATCTCCCCTATCGCGCACACAAAGTGTAACTTCATATCTCTTCATGCAATCCAGTATCTCCAACTTCCTCTTTCTTTCGACTCGTCGTCGAAAGTTTTCATGGTACGAACGTCGCCAAATTTATGTCTCTGTGTCAAGCGTAAACTATCGTAATTAACAGTTGATACTTAAAATTTATCTTACATTACAAAAAAATTAATTTACTAACAATAATAATTAGTTTTTAAGTCGCTCGCCCACCGCGGGATGTGTGATATCGGGAAATATCCGGTTTCGAGAAAACCCCAATAAACTACGTCCGGCGAAAATTACTATCAATAAATTTTTCGCACGGCCGGCGACCATTGGTTGGACCCGAGCGAAGAAAACAAAGGGCAAGGACCCCGGGCGGTTTATGGCCTTCCTTACAAGATGTTCTGGAAAGTCGACGACGATGAGGCCCGGCATAGCGAGGCACTATTATATGAGCGCAGGTGTCGGTGCAGATGTCGCGTAGCAGACGGTCCGCCACGATCGCCGCCGCCGCCGCCGCCGCCGTCGCTCTTGCGGTACCCGTCTCGAAATTTTAATAAAACACGCACACGGAGAACGCGAGGGAGAGAAAGAGAAGGAAAAAGAGCCGCTCGTATATTTGCCTTACGTCGCAAACGCCCGGGTGTCGCAAGTGCGACTGTACAAACACACGCCACGATACACAATACGTACGAGGCATGCCATGCATCTCATTCTCGTAGATCTCCGTACAGATCTCGATATGAATCTATCAGTAAGCTCGTAAATAATCGGCGAGGATTGAAACGGCGAGCAGAACTCGTGACTCGTATCGTAAGAGGCTCGGGCACGGATTAGCTTTTACTTTCGATTATTACTGTTTATCATTTTATTTAATTGCAATCTGTATCTGCATTTATACCGATGGAAAGTAAATTAACTCTTATAAAATTATTGCATTAATAATGCGGTTTATAAATTTCCTGGTTACAGCCTTGAAAATGGTTGAAATCATGCGGAAAGATGACGTTTATTCATTCGCAATAAGATACATTTTATTATGCTTATACCTTTTTCAAATCAATTTTAATACAGTATTGAAGATATGTTATTCTTAAAAAATGATAGAATATATATATATTTTTTTTTTAAGAGAAGAAAAAATTAGTTTATTTGCATTTATTACATTATCTCTAATTTTATAAACATAATTTCGAAAACGTTCTTAAAAGTTTACCAAAAAGTCCCTGGAAAATATTATCTTTTGAAAAACAGCTCAAGCGTTAAAGACAATTAAAAAAAAAACTTGTTTTTTTTTTATTATTTTTGTCAACGATAAGAAAAATATTCATTTTCCTTTCAGGTATAAGTCGAGATGTTGTGATGGCTGGTAGGTCACGACGTTCGAGCACAGAGCTCGAACCAGATCTATCGACACCGTCGGCTCCGAAGAAGACAAAGCGATCTGAAACGTCCTCCGAAAAATTGTCCGCGGAAGAACAGCTAACGGAAGTGGAAAGTACCGAGCTCACACCATCCACGAGTGGGATATCCTTACAGACGGAAGTGGTGTCCCTCGAGAAAAGGCACGAACAGAGGTCAGATGTTACAGAACAAACAGAGACATCGGAGCAATCGGTACTGATCGGCGAGGCGTCCTCGAAGTCGACCGAGCAATTAACTCAAACGGGTCGTGAGCTCTCCGAACGACAGGGAGACACCGCGACGATCTCGACGGAAGCGATTCCGGGCACGTCGAAGGAGGAACCACTTGGTGCACTGAAAGCTATTATAATGAAGTACAGCGAACAGGGCGAGCTCTCTGGTGGCCCTTCTCAAAAAAGGTCGGAATGCGAGACAAATGTACAAAATTTCTTGCTACGCGAGCATGGATCGTACGAGGATCTGTTCCTTATCGGGAACGGCGCGTACGGCACGGTGTACAGAGCGAAAGATAAGACCAGCGGTCAAATAGTCGCGCTCAAGAAAGTTAGGGTACCTTTGACAGAGGATGGTCTGCCCATGTCCACGCTGAGAGAGATCGCTGCTCTGAAGTCGCTCGAGCGATACGAACACCCGCATATCGTAAGTGTTTTATTTCCACAATACTTAATAAAGTTTATCCCAATAAATATTCTGCATTCTATGTTAATGGAAAGATACTTTTTTTACTTATTAATTATATTCTCTTTTTTTTTTATGCCGCATAAAGATATACTTATTTAATCTCCTTAATTCAGGTCAAGTTGCTAGATGTTTGCCAAGGAGATTATCTTCATTTACCGATGGGTGACGAACAGTCCGAAAGGCCGGATCGCGGTCTCACTCTCTGGCTGGTGTTCGAACACGTGGAGAGAGATCTCGCCTCCTTCGTGGCGAACTACCGAAATAGTTCCCCGCGACCGAGCATCCCTTCGCATCTCGTGAGGCAAATGTCGATGGACATACTCTGCGGCGTCGAGTTCCTGCACAGCCATAGAATAATACACAGAGACTTGAAGCCGCAGAATCTTTTGGTGACGAAGGAAGGGAGGATAAAGATTGCGGATTTTGGTTTGGCCAAGACCTACGATTTCGAGATGAGATTAACATCCGTGGTACGCACACATAATGTCGCGCATAATTGTACTACAAATTACTTGTGCCGAGTGCATTGATGCACTTTATGATATTCTGTATAGGTTGTAACGCAATGGTATCGAGCACCCGAAGTACTTTTAGGATGTTCCTACGCTACTCCTGTAGATATTTGGTCTGTCGGATGCATAGTCGCAGAACTTTGCAAGTTGGAACCATTATTCCCAGGCACCAGTGAAGGTGATCAGCTGGACAGGATTTTCCAGTGAGTCGACATTTCTTGTTCTTTCTTTTTGTAAGTTATATTTTTTAATTGGTTGTTTTTTTTTTCCCTTCAGAGTTCTAGGTACTCCATCGCAGCAGGCCTGGCCGGAGAATGTATCGCTAAGTTGGACAGCTTTTCCACGTAGACAACCGAAACCTCTTGGTGCAATAATACCAGATCTCAGTGAACATGGACTGGATTTACTAAAGAATATGCTCATGTTTGATCCTCATAGTCGTATAACTGCAGCTCAAGCCGTAAGACACCGATACTTTTCTGAAGAGAATATATAACAATTGTTCCGTAAGTTGTTTAGCTATATTTACTACTAAATTAACTAGCAAACTCAGACTGACGTAACTGTATTCAGGAATAAAACTATGCACGTTTAAGGATATAATAAGTATGTAAAATATGATTATTCACTACTAAATATAGGATTATCTAATACTACGATAATAATACGTCTGTTGCTAAGTATCTAATCCAAGTATTAAGAATCACTTTTGTGCCTTAAATATTACATGTTAAATGTTATAATATTACAAATTTAATTAGTTAAAATTACCATTTAGTTTTATATGAAATTAATTAGTAGATAGTCATTATAAATATTCTTTGCACTATTTTTATATAGTTAGCGTTGTATGATTAAGTTATTAACAGTAAACATAACAATCTAACAATTTTGCGAAATAAACTCGTATTTAATTTATCTTATACATACCTTATGTACAATATGACAAGGAAACAATTATTATTATTTTTGATATGTTATTTATTTACGTAACAATGTAATTTTTCATACTTCAGTCAATTGTCTTTTTAGAATAATGTTAAGAATTTCACTTATTAATTTTTTTTATTTTACTTCATTGTTTAGATGTTAATAGTTTAGTTATAGCAGTACAGTACATTTATGTTATTTATGTAAGTTGAATAAGATACATATAATTGCGGCAAAATCCTATTAGAAATACAAAAGTGAATGTGTTTTGTATGTGTGTATGTGTTTGTATAACTTAGATGCATAACTTTGCTTTGACTCAAAATTAATGCGTTGTAAAACTAATATAAGATAATATTTACGTATATAATTTATAAATAGAATTATTTTCTAAGACTGTGGGTCTTTGTGACCTGTTAGAAACATGGGAAAGATTTAGGATCTTCCAGAAAAAAACCAGAAAGCACACTGCCATATCTTGTATGTATCATAAGCAATTTGCAATCACTATTATCATATTTTCATTAGTGTACGATAGCGACGATGTATAGAGCAATAAGTGACAATATTTATATTAATACATTTAAGGTATGTTACTATATTAAGGTATCGAAAGTAGAAAAGCGCATTATTAAGAAGACTGTATTATAAAATAAAAATTTTATAGTTTTATATGCAACACCAGAAGACGTCTCTATCATTAATCTTTCCAATGTATCCATTTGGAATAGAATAAATTTTTATAATCATACAGCAGAATAGTAAGTATTTGTATTTGTGAAAGTAAAAAAGTATTTGTCCAATTAATTTCTGAGATTCTAAGACTTCTTGATGTGTGTCTCGAAACTCGCGCGCTTTTAGATTTGCATCATGGCTGCGTCAATGTGATCTTTGGACTTTAAAGAAATATATTCAATAATAAGGACATAACAAAACATCGAAACACAAAGTGAAACCGACTTTATATCAACTATGCATCTACGAGAACGTTACTGATTTTCAACATGAAGTTCCTATCAAACTTTGCCATAAGCGCTTACAGACATCTAGGATATCGCGGTAGCAACCTAGCAGTATCCTCGGCTAGTTGGAGAAAAATGGCGACTGAGGTGGAAAAGGCACAATCCGCTGCACCGGACGGTGGTGATACAATATTTGGGAAAATACTACGTAAGGAAATCCCATGCAACTTTATTTATGAGGATAGCCAGGTAAATTATTATATAAGATATTGACAATTACGTGTTGTTTTATCGTACTTTATGTAAATGTATTATTTACCGGCATCATGCACAGACATATCGAATCATATCATATCGAATATATTGAATATAAAGTGTTATTTTGCATATAATTAGGTAAGATAGTATAGCAAAATAAGGATGAAAATACGTATTTTTAAGTATTATTTTATATTTGCTGTTTGTTTATTGCATTTCTGCAAATGTATATTTCGAAGGCAATCCAAGATTAATTGTTAATGATTTAAGTCTGTAATTATTATATAACGTATCTTTTTTGTTTGTCATACTAGATATGTTTCAATTGTGTCTAAGACCAAGCTAGAAATATTACAGATTGACGTTAGCACAGAGATTTTATATAAGAGTAAACATATATCATTAGTAATAACTTTATATTCAGTAGCTCTCACTCTTGAATTTTATGAATAAAAATAAATTTTTATTAAGTAACATAACATAACTCTATTTAAATTAAATATGTTGATATAAACTTATTACTTATTTTTGTTTACAGTGCGTTGCATTTGAGGATGTAAATCCTCAAGCACCTGTGCATTTTCTGGTGATTCCACGGAAACCAATTCCACAACTCTCTAAAGCTCAAGATGAGGATGAAGCTTTACTTGGTCACTTGATGTATGTTGCTCAAAAAGTTGCAAAGCAGAAAGACTTAAAGAATGGATTTCGTTTAGTTATCAATGATGGAAAACATGGTGCACAATCTGTATACCATCTACATCTGCATGTTCTTGGTGGTCGACAGTTACAGTGGCCACCTGGCTAATTATTTACATGTTTAAATATACAAACGATTGCAGTTATAAAGCCTATATTTATTATCAATGAAATACTAAAGGTATTATATATCAAATATTTCTAAGGTTGGAGAATTTCTATGGTTGGAGAATATTTAAAAATATACTGCAATAATAAAAAAATATTACAGGTTTTAATAAGTATTTATGCTCATGTATGACAATGTCAGCATTTATTTTTTCTCATTTTCTGTTATAGATATGTAGCAAGAGGAATGTTTTATAAAAATAGAGTCTTTATAAACTGAATTTATAACAAATAAGGTAGTAGCTATTAAGTAGCTACTATTATTTACTTTATTATTATTAGTTATTATTTATCGTTTTTCATATACTTCGTATACAAATTTAATTCCTTTTTCTTCTTGTACATCCTGCGGTACCGCTGGGTCCCTGAAATTAAGCATTATATTGTAAAATAACTGGAAAATATCAAAAAATTCAGAGGAATTTTAACTTACGTTACTAATACAAAATCATTCGGAATAGGTGGGAAGAACGTATCGCATTCAAATTCCTTCTTTATACGTGTCAGATATAATCGTCCAAAATGTGGAGATTCCATGGCATCCTATAAAAATTAAATAATAATTATACAATTTCAGCCTAAATATGTTTTGTTTCAGGCATAGAAAGTATAGCTTTCTGTGCACCAAAAAGGGATAGATCTATTTCTTGAAAATGTTAGATATATGTTTCATTATTTCATCTATGTTTTTATAATATCGAATTGTATGAAATACCTTGTACACACTACTTCCTCCTATTATCCACACTCTTTCAATTTGGTTCTGCATTCCTGCAATCACTTCAAGAGCATGTGGTATACTTTTACATACTATTGCCTTATCACCATAATCTCTGAAATTGGTATAATAAATTGTTTTTACAAGAAGAGAATATTACACTTTTTATCGTATCAATTATTTCATTCACACTTACAGTGATTGTGATGTTAACACCATATTTATGCGATCGTTCAGAGGTCGGTATTTTATAGGTATGCTATCCCATGTGCGTCGTCCCATAAGTACGACATTCTTTTTATTTTTGTCCTTTGTGTCAATTGTCATACGAGTAAAGTATTCCATTTCGGTCCTAGAAATGAATTGCATGGATAAATCGGTTTTCAATTATTTTAATTACATAAATAATTTGTTGATAGTCTTACTTTAAACGCCAAGGTAAAGCACCGTTGTTTCCAATGCCCATATTTTCGCATGCTGCGGCAATCAATTCTAGTTTAAGTTGCATATTTGCACGTGAACAAGTCTGTCGCAATAAGCCTAAATCATGCGATGGTATCGTTAAATTTTCAATCAAGAAATCGTAAATAAAGAAGCTTTACTTCGAATTTTAGGGCTCCCGTATTCAATGAACGTGAAAAGTTCTTAGATATAGAAAAAATTGATGTTGAATTGACTGTTCAATATAATTGCATTTTAGGTGGCTAGACACATAAGCACGTGCGAAGAAAACACTGAATATTTTTTATAAAACACAAAAGAATACCTGCACTAACCGCAAGTCGTATAAATCGTAAAAATTAATGAAACTGTTTAAGTAAAAGAATCTACGTCGTTCGGTTTTTCTTTTAAATATAGTACACTACTGATATGAACTGTCAGTTTTGCAATTTGTATATAAGATAGTATATAATCACACGGACGATCGTTCTTTATTTTCATATTATCAACTAGTTCTAAGAATTATGATTCTCCTTTCACTTATCAATGACAATGATACAAACTCAAGGATTATAGATACATATCTAGACATTAGACAATGTTTTTATTCTATTCAAGTTTTCATCACAAGATTAGATAAACAAAATTCATAGTTTTATATTAACGTGAAATTAGAAATTGTAAATGCTGATTACCACAAATTGTATATTAAATTTTTCAGTATACACCACGATACATGTGTTATTCACTATGATATTATTTGCTTACTCAACTTGTTTTATCTCTCTGTTACTGTTACAGTACTTATAGCAGAGCAAACTAGTCAATACTAACGGTTGGAGCAGTATCATTCCAGTGTGCCCCCGCTATACTTTTATTATTTACTTTTAGAAAAAGAATATAAACTTTATCTTAAGAAAAAAAATTAAGTTTATTGCATTTATTCACAAAAAAAGGAGAACATGGTATGCATCATGTACAGTAACATAACGTACAGTATAAAGACGATAATTTTTAACTGAGAAAATTATGTTCTAATGATTAAATTATTGCTACCAATGTTTAAGTTGTTGGACAAAACAAGGAAGAATACGGAAAAAATATCGATTTCTAAAAGTATTTAGATAATATGCTATTTTATATTTTTAGCTTTCAAAGTTTTATTTGATATTTCAACAAGAATGTAAATATTCTCCAAGCTGAATATGTATCAATAAAAACTAATTTAATTTCTAAAATATGCATCATGTAATTCAAACTACTTTATTCATAAAATATATTATATTTTACAAGAGAATGACTATTATATAAATAACTCACGTGTACATTTATCACCATAATTGAACAACATTACATTGAATTCTTAAATTAGCCTCAAATAAAAATTTTACTTTTTAACAATTGTTTATATTCACAGGTGTCATAATTATATCTTGCTGTATTACCTTAATATTATTTTTTATATAAAAATTTTTAAGGAAGTTCTATCTCATCTTCTTACGAAATTGTTGAAATTTATAGTGCTTGTTATTTAAGATTCAACTAAACTATCTGCAAAGTTTCGTTTATATTGTTTTATTAGTATTTGAGATAATTGAACTAAAAGTTATAGTGTTTTTGAACGAACGGATTTTAATACAAGAGGTTATAAACACAATTCCAATCATTTCAGCTTGAATAGTACATCATTAAAAAAAGACAGACTAATATTTGTTTTCTATCTCTCATGTCCCGGTCTGCTCCATTTGGATGAGCGTTTAGTATAGATAAAAATTTTAATTTTGTGACTCTATCAAATTTATTTTTAATTTATTGTTACAGCGTTTTCGAGTAAATAAATTTTGATCATTCCGGATCAATTAATCACTATTCTATTATTTACTATTTTACTAAATTGAAGTTTTTTATTGACGGAGACGATGCAATGACGTTATTAATTGACGTTGAATCAATCAAAATCCGTTTATTTAAAAACATGAATAGACTGTCGCGCTTGAACTGAATAAACAATTGTCTTAAATAAATAACTTTCTTAAATAAACGATTCATACAAATTAGTATACCGAGCTTCTATAATACATTACTTGTGGCAGCACTCGTTCGTACACTCACAAACAAAGTTGCATTTTTTTGATTCAATGAGTTTAGGAACGCAACAAAATACCAATCTGTGCTTGGAATTTGGATGCGTTCTGAAATTCATTCAGTAAAGAAATGTTGCCACCTTTTGTTTAGGAATGTACAATCGGTTGGAGAAATTTACCATACCACATAAACATTTATCAGTTCTAACGGACAAATTTCCAAATCTATATTTTCTCATTTATATTTCGATTTTCATTCTATTTGGAGCCTTAATATAATTGCAAGTAAGTCGGGAATTTTAATATTATTGAAATTTTATTATTGTGAGATTGTATTTACGATAATACATAATATTCTAAATCAGAATAATGGATATCAGAGTATCTTACGTGTGATTTTGAAGTATGTTCTACATATTTAAGTCATGTTTGATTATTGATCTCATATTAACTACATAGCTGACATTCTTGATGTATTATAACTATTGAATACTTGTTACTTAATTTATTTACAGTATCTAATTATTTTCTGTTTTGTTAGAGGTTATATTGATTTAATATGTTATATACATTGTTAAAAATATGTATCTTTCTTAAGCAATTATTATTTATTTGTAATATCTGACCATTTTTATGTATTTTAGAATGTCTGGTCGGGATGGAGGTAAAAAGAAGCCCTTGAAGGCACCAAAGAAGGAATCGAAAGTTTTAGATGATCAGGATGTAGCATTTAAACAAAAGCAGAAGGAACAGCAAAAAGCATTAGCAGAAGCAGCGAAGAAAGCCAGTCAAAAAGGCCCATTAGTTACTGGTGGTATAAAGAAATCTGGAAAGAAATGATCTCATGTAGCAGTGGGTGAAATTTGTGATTTACTGTGCACATGATGATTACAACAATAATTATGGATTGATCAATTGTTATATAAGACTACAGCTTTTTTTTATGGTTTTTAATTTTGAGAAATCTTTAAACTTGTAAATAAAAATTATGTATGTATTTTGTGTTAAATTTTTATAAAACCGATATTAATTGAATTGTATTGAATTTGTATGTCTATATTAATTAATATACAGGACTTATATTTCACAGTAATTACAAAGAAAAATTCAAAATTCATAAAACAATATCAATCCACATTTAGAATATGTCAGTTTTTGATGTTAAATACTATTGATATTAAACTGTTACATTCTCAATATAATTATATGTTGTAATTATGTCATTTATTATGTGATTCTTTTTAGGATTTTGAAAAGGATTTGTGTAGTGTAAAATGATATTTTATTCAATATGTGCGCGTTTAATGTAATTATTACATTTGCTAAAGGACTTGTCTTGAAAGTTACAGTTTTGTATGAAATGCCAAATTAACTCTCATATTCAATGTATTGATATGCAACATAAAAATAAAAACAATGTTATCTTTTATACTTCTATGTGTCATATTATATAAAATCAACAGTATTAAAACTGCAATAATTTATGTAAAATTTATAAAACTTATTTTATAATAATTTTAATTTTTCAGTTTAGTTTTCTTATAAAGAAGATTTTTGTTCCATTCTAAAAAGTAATTTAGATTAAAAGATTTATCATCATACAATTGATTAAAAATTGAAATATAAATATAAAATATAATATATTGCAAGCGTTTTAGAAATCAACTTTATCAGTTAGATTCTAACTGATAAGGTACGAATATATGTGACTTTATCTGTTATTGGAGATTTAGCCAATAATTTGTTTGCCCTTGTGCTTTTATGATAGTTCGTAAAAGGCGCGGCACAATATTAGTTGCAGCTTCGCACGCTGTCGCGATCGTCGCGATCGTCGCGATCGTAGCTTCATGCTCCTATTGCAGAGCGTAGAGCGCTGAAATCAGCCGCAATTCTAAACGTGCTTGTTGCTTTCGGTGGTGCCGATTATATTCGAAAAAATAGAGAGTTTATTTAACGAAATCGAGCTTTTTTCAGAAAGATCTATTTGCGCATTATCAGATCGGATAATACAAGACTTTCTTTCTCGAACTTTCTGAAAAGGATATAAAAACGGTGTTTACGAAGGCTTTCCTCGTATGTGGTATCCTTCGCGCGCAACTTGTTGATAAACACGTACACGTACACTTGCAAAAAATCTATCGCTCGCAGTATACACAATTTTGCCGCAAAGGTTATATTGTGATTCAATCGTGTGAAATTAGTGAATTTTGCCGGTTGCGGAGGTGAGCAATATTTCAATAAAAGTTAAATCGAAGAGTTCAGCATTAAATATTTGTGTCGGAGTATCAATTTACTCTTACATTGCGGTAATTCTCTGTTAATTGCTAATATCGGCAGTGCGATTAATGTCGGGAATATCGTGTGATTATTATATGATGAAATACGCGTTGGGAGTGCGGGTCACACGCTTTCAATGAATCATATTTTCCCGAGTATCAATCAGTGTTTATTACTTCAACTTTTGCCAAAAAGGGACCTAGTTTACAATTTTATCTTATCACTCTCATTTATCCATACTTTTTTTGAGTAATATTGTGTAAGTGCCAAGCAGGAGTCACAAGGAAGAAGAAGAAGAGAGAAAATTCATCTCTTCTGAGCATCATGGGCCGCATCGGGATGACGAAACGTCACATCACGAATAGAGTAAAAAATTTACTACTTATTCATTATTTAATATATTTAATAGTAATGTATTTATTGTATGTACTTATTTGTATATTTATATTTTTCAGATCAACTTTGTTACATCTCTGCTGCTGCACATCATGTGTGGGTGAGTAATTTTTTTCAATTTTGACAATGCGCGCTTTTTTTACCCAGATAGCATCCTAGAGATATTCTTGATATTCTCAGGATGTTCTGAGACAATTTTCAGAATGTCCTGAGGCAATTCTCAGGACATTGAGATATCCCTAAGATATTCCTAGGATGTGTTGTGCTATGTGGGTACGAATCGATTAATCGGTTCGAGCTTGTAAGAGGAGTCAGAAGAATTATATATTATACATTTACATTACAATGAAATTCAAATGCTGCATGTATTTTTAACTTACAATTTATGAATTTTGCACGGAAATATGCACCAAAACGGCAAAGTTATTATTTATCATTTGTGCAAACTTGGAATATCGTAGTTGTGGTTTCAACTCTAACGTTGAAGATGGCGGTACATGACAAAGGTTCGTAAGCGTCTCACAAAAAATGCCGGTATGATCGCTCCAGGTCGTTCATAGGTTATTCTCTGCGAATTGTAATAAAATTTTGTCATTAGTCTGAAAGTGAAAATTACACATTAAAAACGATGTGGAGGGCACCAGTTGTCACTGCATCGGATCGTATATTTCCTGGTTTAGTATATTACGATAGGAAAAAGGAATTTTATGATATAGGTATGTTTTTTTCGCAACTTTCTTCTGTTATCATTGTTGACATTTGTTGCTCTCTCTCTCTATGAGAAACATAAATATGATAAACTGATCTTTTCAGCATTTATAATATTCAGAATATAATATAAGGACGTATTAAAACCAGTCGATTAATTTTTGTTTATTATAGAGCTAATTATTGAGTTTTAATAATTTTATATAATGTATGAAAAGTTTACAATTAAATTTTACACTAATTTAATGATTTGGGCATCCTAGAATTTTTTTTTATGACTCACTACTTGCTTTTTGCAGGAAATCAAATACAATCCAATTTACCACTTCAAATGGCATTGTATTTTAATATATGGGTATATCCACTATGGTTTTTAATAATACTTGTTAACTTAGATGCAAAAGTAAATATATAATAATATGTACAGTTTATTCTTGAAAATCCTGATGTTTAGAAATAGTATAAGTTGAGATATTTTTTATTTTACAGTATTATTACTTGACAGATGTATATAAATTTATAACTATAGCAATATTTATTGTTATATCAATATTGGAAAGTATACGACTGTATTTGGGATATCTTGGAAATTTAGCAGAGAAGGTAGTTTGTTTAAATTTTAAGCTAGATTAGGTAAAAATATGAGTTAAGATTAAAAATCATATCTCCACACAGATTCCAGAACTGGCAAGCTTTTGGCTGATATCTACTCTTATTCATTTTCCTCTGGAGATGGTTCTCCTTTTTGATAGCAAAACTAAATCTCATGTTAGCGAGACAGTTGCTAATGGTATCATGATGTTTCTGCTCATTATAGAAATTTTAACAGCCACAGTAGCTTTAAGGAAATCAGCAGATCATCATGCTAAACGATTTTATGTTGCACAATTATATGGAATTGACGATAGCATACATTAATGTATATATATATTTAAGTTTATTGCTTTTAGAAATTGACAGTACAATATTATTACAATAATGTACATTAATATTGCATCATTAAATGTTTTAATATATATATATTTAATATAACATCATATAACGTTAAATTAAATTAATTTTTGTACTTTTATATAACTTAAAGATATAGAATACTTATAGAAATCCATAACAATAAATCTTTTAGCTTTGCTCTACTTTTTTTGGAAGTAATTTGTTAATTTCTCACTTTTGTGTATTCACTTCAATGTATTTTCAATATGAAACTACATAATAAAAACAATATTAAATTTTATCTTATACTACAGTAATATCTTCTAGATTATTTTCATCATAAAATGTTTTTAAAGCCAACACATTTTTTCTTAAACTTATGAAGGATAACTCCATGTCATGTAAAGTAATTTCTTCTTTCCCAGTTTCTCCATCTGCTAATGCTAGTAATAGTTGAGAACGAGTAGGTGTCATACGTGACAAAAGCTGCAATAATGTTAATATTTAAACACAAGTTATTATTTCTGGTATTATAATTTTTATAATCTAACATATAGAAAAAGTTTCGCTTACACTAAATAATTGTTGTGCCATCCAACCATGATATGGCTCTAAAGTTTCTTTGTAAGCCTCTTTTAAAAATGCAACCAAGTCCTCTGTTGCATTCCCAGCTTTGTGATCTTCTATAATTCTTTCGAAGAATAATAAAATCATATGTAAGGCCCTAGAACATATAGTAATTATTGAATAAGTCTTATACATGTACATATGTATAGCCCAAGAAAATTTTCAAATACATTTTCAACTTACCTTCTTAACCACATTAAGGCATCAAGTGCAATGAGATCTTTCTCAGTAGATTTTTCAAGTAAAATCATATCTTGTAGGGTTGAGTTACTCTTTTTATCCATAGAATATCTAGTGGTTAGTTTCTATAACCAAAAAATATATAATCCTTAAAATTCATAGAGTGGTTTCAACAGTGAATATTAATAAACTTTATCTATATAAATCACTGTTCACTTACGTCAATGTTGCCTTGCATGTCATGTCGTACTGGGGCAAACAATTTGCCAAATTTATCTGGAATAGATTTGTTCACAATTCTTAAATCGTTTATATAATGCTTCAAAGTCAGGTTACATTTAATACAAAATTTCTAACTGTTCATTGATTAATTTTGATTCTTCTGGGATTAAAAGTAAGAATAAGTACGGTGTATATATACCAACTATTTGTACAACATCGCGAGAGGCTTGCAGAAACTCTTCTGTATTTATTTTGTTATCAATTATTTCAGGAAATTGCATTTTGTTGTTCGATTCCGTTAACGCACAAACGTTTTCTGGAGACGTCGAATTGAAGAATGACATGTTTTGTTACTTAAAATGGAAAAAAATAAGTATTATCTTGACACAAGTTGATACATTGCTATGTGTCAATAATAATATATTCATCTATCCGATGGAAAGAAAATGACTACCGCTACATCTACATTGTATAGTTGGATTTACATAGCCACATTCATTTTTGGATGTCGGTAAATGTACCGAAGTTTGGTGCATTTCCGTGCTAATTTATAAATTATAAATTAAATATATACTATATGTATACGGATTTAACTATATAATATACAATTTTAAAGTTTTAATTCCAAATTTTTTAAATAATATATTTTTAAATATTAAAAATGTTTGCAACATTTTATTAATTTGTTAATCACTCTATAATATATCAGATATATTAATACATGTATATTATGTATGATATATCAAACTATGCTCTTTGTTTTCTTCAGATTTTTTGCTCATCGAGCTTTTTTCCACATTTTTATTTATTTATTTGATATGTATGTGTATAATGTAAATTGTAACAATTACATATAAATGCATTGCAAATTTAACATTGAGGAGTAGAATTGGTAGAATAAGAGGGTATAAAATTGATAGAATAATAGTCGTGTTTCTAACTAAATTTATATTTGTAGCTTAATAGATAGATTCTTGTCGCCAATTTGCAGAGTCGGTGGTACAATATTGTCTCTGTAATTTTTGTTTTGCTAACATAACTTATTAAAATAATTTAAGATATTAAAATAATTAAGATATAATACTGTACATATGCTTAATAATGTACAAGTTTCTTTACTCTATTAACTTAAGATTCAATCGTTCTTTAAATTCTACTTATATAAGTGTGTTACGTATATTATTCTATGAAACGCATTACATTACGTAACATTATTCTATGAAGTTTTTCCGCGTCGTAATTTTATACAAGCATTTCCAATATCTTACTAAATATATATATATATATATATATATATATTTGTCAACGCATTTGTGCACGTTACGTGTATTATTAATTAATTATTTTACACTAGTAAGAATTGAGGCTGTCGCTCATGGAACGCTAGGTATTATGTTTACAAAATAAATTATTATAAAGTAGTTCCCTGCATATTTGACAACATAGAAAGTGTTGTACATGAGCAAAATATGTACCCCATATAGTTATCAAATATTTGTCATTTGACTAATGCGTGTAATCGTACGTTATTATATAAAATCTGTATCACTTATACGTCAGAGTCATATACGTAACAACGGGTACACATTCTTATTTGATTCTCAGTTGTACAAATCGTAATCCGAAATTATAAATCCGAAAATATAATTAATAACATAAATATCTAAAAATTCCATCGTTATTAGAATTTTTGGTGTAACAAATCATACAACTAAATATTTATTAAATTACACAACAGAAAACGGTTTTTGCCAATTCCATCTGCACATTGTCTCATGCTTTTGTTCTGATTGAAATCATATAAGTTTAGAAGGGATATAATAATGGCAGTACGATACTTTGATTAATGCAGTTGAAACAAAAACTGTAATATCACCATAAGATATCTAAATAATTAATTCTATGCTCATTTAAATATAAATAAAAAATTTCTATTGACATATTATTATGTATACAAAATTATAGAAAATCATTTAGTTTGATTCAGCATAAAACTTAAATTGTTAGTTGATATCTCTTAGATATCATTTTTCAAATTTTTATATTCTCATTCAGCATTACATATATATATTTTTAAATATATATATATATCTAAAAATATCACATCTATTTGCAAATTTCTTAACAAATATAATTAATGCGTAAGGAATATCAATAAAAAATATGTATTTCTATACATATGTAATTAAAACACTTAATAAGCTTCTAAACGGAGAACAGAACATTTCTTTAAATAATTTACAGTGCGCGTATATTAAGCCGATATTGCTTACAACCTGTAATGACCTTCGCCTTCGCTGAAAGTAAAATTACGCATCACTGTTTCTGCTGACCTTTAAAAGGCAGTGGGAAGAGGATGTTTGAGCACATTCCCGGTGGAGTCCTCGGCAACGAGGGTAAGAGCGGTGAGGCAGTGGGGCGGTGGTGGTGGAACAAGAGCCTCCATAGGTGGTCGCAAACCGGGAAATTGGCGAGACCCCACAACCATCCCCCCCGAGGTTTCTCTAAGTTCTATCACTCGTACTCCATATTGTGATCGCACCACGTTTCTAAAAAAATTATTTTTTAAATAATTGTGTTGAAATTTATTTAATTTGTAGAGAAATTTAAGTAAAATATGAGAAATCTAAACAATTTAAGAACAAATTAGTCATTAAAAATGATATTTAGACACTTTAATTATTTACATTATTTAGAAAGAAAGAGCATTTGACATATTTGACAGTCGACTCACCTTTTCCCATCGTACTCTATCTCGTGATGGTTTCGCTTATTCGAAAAATTGTCCATTTCGCTGTTAAACCATCGGTGATGGGCGAGCAACGCTGCGCACGATGGACCCCAAAACGTTCGATCGGGCTGTGAGAAAAATTGCGAAGCGATCAGGCTCTTAGAAAGTGATCTGTTGAGCTCAGGACTAGCCGGCGCGGAGAGTCTTCCGGACAATTGTCTCGAAGTAGGCGACGGCGAAGGTCTAGATGTTTCCGAGAGCAGTCTGCCTCTTCGCGGACTTGACACCACGAATTCCTGCACGGTTACCGTAACGCTGAGAGGTCTGCTAAGCGCGACGGTCGTGTGTTGAGGATCCCTTCTGATAGGATTGCGATTAAAATCGATTCCAGCCGCGCCCACAAAGACCCGATCGACGTAGTCGAATCCTCGACCCATTATTCCTTCTCGAGTGTGACCGAGGTCGAATGTGTGACCAAGTTCGTGTAGAACGGATCCTAACGTTGTCGCTAGACAGCCACCGTGAGTGCCGCGGTAATTACTATCGTCCATGAGTTGCTCCGTGTCGATTAGAGTGGCGTCCAGGAATCTCGGCAATACCTGAATTATTCATATTGATTATTGAGATATCAATATAATATATTAAATATTGTTTCTTTCAATTTTTGAAATAAGAAACAAATATATTATTTTCGGTAACGTCTAAATTATATACGATAATACAATTTTTAAATAACAATACGTGAGATCGGTGAGGTGTAAATCGATTGGATAAATAATTCGAGAGCTTTTCGTTATAATATTTAATTGAAGAAAGAAACGAGTGATTAGTAAAGATGTAATATTTGGATAAAGATATCGCGCCGCGTCTATTTATCCGTTATTTCGCCATGACTTTCGGACTCTGTCTCTCTGTCGATCGTCTATAAACAATTACACGGCTCGTATGCGACTCTGCCCGATTGAACCTTGAGTTCGATCGATGATCTGCCCGTAGCCTATCAAAATAAAAATATATAAACACGTACTGAAAACATTATTAACAGCTAACGAAAAACGCGCGCCTACAAATATAATGCATCAAATGTCATTTTTCAATTTTCGAAATAAGATACAAATATAATATGGATTCTTTGCCACGTCAAATTATTTTAATTAACGATCGTCAACCAACCTGAGGCATACATGTGGGCCAGGTGTGCAGGCACGCCGAGCCGAAGAGCGCTAAACCACCTCCGCCGAGAGCCGCGTGACCTTGCGTCCTCGCCAGGGTGTCCTCGTGCGTTCTAGGACTAGGTGCGCCGCGGTATCTCGTACACGATAGAAACGCCAGGTACTTGCGATCCCTGGACGCCAAAGGACCGGTCATTAGCTCGCGCGCGATCAATTCCCAGAGCTCCCTTTGCTTCATCGCTCGTGCCCGATCCACGTGTAGCATACTGTGCATCACCAAGCATTCCGGGCCGTCTAGATCTCTTTCCAGTTGGAAGGTTTTTCTGCCGTAACCGGCTTCTAAGAGTTTCTCGGCTGTTAGAGTCTGGAGAAGCCTGGCGCCGAGTCCTATTCTCGTCGCCGCGCTCTCGGGCGATCGATCTTCATTGCGTGGACCCTAAAACCATATATCAAGCCGGGATCTGTGTAATTTTCGCGCGTAAATTGCGAGATCGTAATCGTTTCACGGAAGAATAGTTGAATTGTTGCAGCCGACAAGCTTAATACGACGGTACGTGTATGCATGCAATGGAACGACAATCGATAATTAGAGAAATGTGTATATTGCGTTCCAAGTAGCTGAATTAATTACGATCATAATCTTGCCTCTACTGTTTGTGCGTTTTTAAAAATTACTAATTATAATTTTTACAAATTAAATGCGATAGAGAATTCCAATAATATTGCTCAAAGTATGATTCTTATAAGAAGTATAATTCGCATTATACTTGATTTAAAAGAAATAAGACGAACTATGTACATAATAATTTATTGCATAATTTGTCGCTACCTGAAAGTAACCGTCGTGACCCGCGCAGATGACGTAGACCGGCGTCACCCGCAACCTGGTGGTCCTTGGCTCGTATATAAGAACCAGTCTTCTTTTATGTCCGCCTGCCTCAAGTTCCAATTTGTTCGGACCGCGTGCCAGGTCCACCAGGACGCGGAATTGCCCCGCGATGATCGGCCACTCCGACGTAACGTTCTTGTGACCCCGAACGGTAATAAAACTGCATAGCGCGGGTGCTCGACCTCTTATGAGGGCCAAGCTGTACGTCAAGGTCTCGCCGTCCGCTAAATTGCATATCGTAATACCTTCTGGATTACCGTTCGCCGCGAAGGTACGATGACGGTGGTGATTGTCCGCCAATGTCGCGTTCGCAAGTACCTGGATACACATGCGACATTTCGTATTTGTATCTTGAAGACTGAATATTTTGCTTTAATACTCATTAGTACATCACACAATTTGATGTGTTACATATTCATAAACATATAATCGATAGAAATGTAAAAAAAGTAAGAAAAGAGAAAAATAGTATTAAAGGCGATCAAATTTTTAAGAGCTTCTTGATGTTAGCTTTTAAAAAATTTATATCATTTTTTCACAATGTCATTTTCACTTTGGAATAACAGATTACTCACCATATCAAATTATATTAAGATGCAAGCAATTAAAAAGTACGGTTTTGATCCAAATAATCTGCTAGTACAATTTTTGATAATTACAAGTTGATTATTGATTACATCGGCTATTGAAATCCACTGCTTTAATCTAACATAATTAAATTTCTCGTGGGAAGTGCAACGATAAGTACACTTTAAAGGCATCACTTTAAAGGTGATATTATTGACTGTAGTAGCTCTCCATAGCTACAACCGCAAACGTTACGTGTTATTGTTAGTAAACTCCTTTATTGGATAAAGATTTCCATTATTAAACTACACCGAGGTATATGAGATGAAATCGTGCGAAACACTGCCGTTGTATTTTTAGTAAGCCTAGTCTGTGCCACATAGCATTTTGCGTCACACTCAAAACTCTTTTGGCGAAAGCGGCAGTTGAAGCTTTCACGAGTAAAGAAAAACAGATCGATAATCCAATTCTCGCGCGGTTATTCTACAAATACTCAATCACGAGTACGAAATGTACAGAGTTTAATTTCCTGCTTTTAATTACTGCGGATGAGTATTCGTGCAAACACGAGGATCTGCATATTTCTCTAAGTGATCAATACATCCGCATAAGCGGGTGCATGTTAATGATATGTTTCGTGGAGTGCTGTACTCCACACACATACACACATACATGCATGGTTTTTTTTTAAATTGCGAATGTCTAGAGTGTAGTTTTACTTGAAACTCTGCCCAACTCTTTCTTCTGTTCCAAATCGACAATAATTTAGTGACCGTAAAAAAAAGTAATAAAATTAGAATATGTTTTTATGTGCAATATTAGAATATATATAGAATATTTATTTAAATATCGAAGTGTTTATTCATGCAATAATTATTCTTGTAAAATATATATTTTTTTTCTGACATTTAATTAATTTTGATTGATCAATAGAAATTCAACGCGGATTAACTTGCAAAAGTGTTACGCAACACACTGGAAACAAGATTCTAGTGACAGATAAGAATTATGATCGCCCACGCCCAAAATGCAAATTGCCGGATTAGGAAATTTTGTAAAGAAATTGACATATTAGAATTGTAAAGAAATATCGGCCGTACGCAAGGGGCTTTTCCGTCACGTGCTGCGATCACGCGGTAGACCTCGTAACCGCGAAACTACGTTACTGACTACGGCAATCCTCGTCCTTCCTCTCATTAGAACACGTCGCATTAAATAACGGAGCGGAAATCGCGTTTTCACAACGTGTCAACTGTTCCTCCACGTTTTAGCCCTGCTAATAGCATCCGGTTTCATTCCATCCGACTAAGCGATTTCTGTTACACACGGCTAACTGGACGCAAATAAAACAGATGACAGTAGCAGACGACACGTTGCTGCAGCACGTCCGTCAGTCACGCGACCTTCTTCCACGCACAACACACGCGATTTCGCGAGACATCACGAGTCTTCTTCGTACACGAGTACCGAATTTGATCTCAAATCTCTTATTTCTCACCCCGTTTCTTATAGCACCCCGTCGGTTTCCAGTAAAATCGGAATAACTACGGAAATATCTTCGGAGCGAACTAGTTTTCCGGCTATACTCGGCGATTTTTCGTCACCACCGCGATGACGCGTCGCTCGGCCAAGATCGTTTCGCGCGATTGTTGACTTACCATTCTCCAGGAGGCGAGTAGGTGGACGAGCGTCGAGGAGGTGCCGTACGGCTCCAGCCGGCTCCGGACATGCGGAGTGAGAGACTGTGGCGCCGAGACGGCGCTGAGTGGCGGGTTGCGGTACTACGGCGTCGCGACGCAGCGGCGCATGCAGCCGCGCACCCGCACTCCGCCGCATCCCTGTCCTCGCCGCTCCGCCGCGCATCTCCGTCGCTCTCACCGGTCGCCGGAATGCCCCCCGCGGTCTCCTTTTCGACGGGGAACGGTCTCGCCACCCCCGTCGTGACACTGCGTCACCGTCGTAGCGCGAATACGTGCCGACTGCAGAATGCAAACTGCGAACTAGGCTGCGAAATGCGACCCCGCGCTCCCTTACTTGGGAAAAACAAACAACGGACTCCGTGATTTTTATTTGATTGTCAGCTTTACGAACGAAAATACCTGCCTCAGCGCTCTATCGTTATTTTTAATCCCTCGTCGAGGTGTCGAGATAGAGTTTCGCAATTTCTCTCATTTTACACTTTCCGTTTCAGACGATTCTTGGTATTCTTTTCCTCTTTTTTTT